TCATAATATGATTCACCTTCCTGACAATTTAAATTACTTTGAAAACTTAGAGCAGTGTAGCGCGTTTGATTTCGAGTCTTTCCTGAACATTTTAAAGAAGTGTCTGGCAAAAGGTGGTTCTGCTCTCCAACAGGCAATCAAACGTTGGAAAGAGAGAACCAGTGTTAATGCCAATGCCCCCAAGAAACCTATTAAAAAACCATTTTACAATGTTGGTCACCGTGGTGGTCCTTTATTGGAGTCTTGTTGCAACCCACAGTACCGAAATGTTAATTTCCCCTCTTTCAAGCTATCATTGTCAGCTCGAGATTGCTGTTTCACATCTAATGATCAAAGCATAGTAATCGCCCGCAATATTTGTCTTCATAGGCCTTCCAATGAGATGGTTATTGTTGGGCAAAAGCTTTTATCAAAAGAAAATGCCTTTACTTTTCCTTGTGAAAGCTCCAAGCTTGACATTTATTATGCCTCCCAACTTTCGGATCTTGTTCTCGTCCCATTTAATGAGGTTCTGTACAAAAATATGATACTTCCATGCCGAGAAGGTTACATTGTTCAACCCATTTTGCACACTCTACCGCAAACAGTTTAGTTGATGCCCTAGTTTGGCAACAATGTGGCAATCGAGAACTGATTTTTTTTATAAGATTTTAATACTTCTTGAAACTTTTAAGAGATTTTAGTCTCTGTGTAACTAACGCCTCGTCAATATTTATAATCATGTCCTCCTAATTAATTCTCTGAATTTTTTTTTTTTTTTTTTGATAAAGCAAAATATTGAAAAAACAGAATAGTTGAGTACTCTCAGATCAACGATTGGAATGACTGTTAACAAGGAAGTATTGCGTTGAGTTAGGTTTCTTTTCTTTTTTATTATTCTCTTTTAAGCAGTCCTTCAGCTCATCAATGTGTGTTTCCATTTCATGTAATACCTGCTCATAACTACCTCCATTTTTGCCTTTAACTTAATTAAGAAATTTTAACAGAAATACGGAAAACTCATTTTCGAATTCTTATTTCTTTGTCATAGGTTTTGGATTAACGATACAGATAATGTGGTGTGTAGCTATTTTTTGCGATAATGGTGATATCAGGATCGTATGTCAAAAATGGCTTGTCGAATCTACAGAAGGCAATGTCCGATGTTGGTATCCAACTGCTATTGATGGCAACAAATGGAACCGTCTGTTGGCGGAAAACACAGGTCCTGATCAAGAGAACTGGGAAATGGTAGCAATTGAAATCCTAAAGGACAAAATAGGTGAGACAGGCTTTTGGCAAGTATCTAGATTTTTTTTTTTTTTTTGGTTATCCATTTGCCAGTTTGAGTAGTTACTCCTAGCATGTGGAGGAACCAAAAAGTGATACCTAAATTCAATTGAGGAAAGTTTAACTTAAGATCTAAAGTTTTCTATGTTACACGATTCTCTAACAGGTCATTCAGAAATTAAGATTCTTCGCAATGAAAGTGTGTCAGACAGCAGTTTATCTATGCTGAGATGTGTTGAGAATCGCTACTTACAGATTAACTGCACCAGTTCAGAATGCACTGAAAACATGATTTTGAAGAGCATGCCTGCATAGTGCCTATTGCAGGAAGGCAATTTTAAAAAGCTCAGCATCTTATTCCTAATTTTCTCTGAGCATTATTTGTCATGATCTTAAAAATCTGGTTTCAGTATGTACTAATACTTAGATTTTACACTCCTTTCAGTCTTTTAATTAATTTTTTGCAGAGCTGAAAGTGAAATGTGCACAGTTTCTGTGTGTATTTTCAACATTTTGACCCACGATCCTTAGAATGATAGCTTTTTAAAGCTTTTCCCATGTGTGCAGTTGGAAATAGATCAGCCGGTAGATTTTAACAGTTTAATTAAAGGTGTATTATAGTGAGTTTGAAGATGAAATAGCCACCAATTTTTACACCTAGTAAAGGAACAGAGTCTTTAGTGTTTACTCATCTTCTCAATTTCATTTGATTTACTTAAAATGTAATCAAATTTAAATCATTTCAGGAACCCTCATCGATGCTCGAAAAATAGCTAAAAAAGCTGAGGATGAAGAAACAAGCTTATCCCTCACTGAACCGGAAAACATGGGTCGGGGGCGAAGAAAAAAGAAGAGCAGCCAAAGGGTCTTGTCTCTTTCTTCTAGTGATGAAGAAAACCCTTCCGCACTATCAACAGTTTCGAAGAGGTCTCGACGACAAGAGGAGCCACCTCGATCACTCCTAAGGATACAATCCCTTAAGTGGCCTACCAGTTGTATTGATAAAGCTGGTAGACTACCATTTTCAGATCTAAATCAAATTAGTAGACCGCAAGGTGTTGCATCTTCAACTCAGAAACCACCCCCCTCCTCTAGTAATGCTCCCAAGACTACCCACAAGACTGGTACACCCCAGCCTCCGAGCCATTTTCAAAATTCCAATCAAGTGAAGGGCTTCGCTGCCTCAACTCAGAAGCCACCCCCCTCCTCTAGTAATGCTCCCAAGACTACCCACAAGACTGGTACACCCCAGCCTCCAAGCCAATTTCAAAATTCCTATAAAGTACAGGGTTTTGCTGCTTCAACTCAGAAGCCAACCCCCTCCTCCAGTCATGCTGCCACGACCACTGATAAGACTGGTCCTGTACCGATCACCAGTCAAAGGAAAAATTATCCAAAAGTGCAGATTCCTAATTCTAAAACATCAACCCATTCAAGTGCTGCACATTATGCACCGCCTCCAAGCACTAATTTTGATCCACGGGTTCTGGTTGACAGAACCTCTGCCGGTGAAATTATTCAAAAACTCGCAAATTTCCAAGGTGAGTTTCATTTTATTGATGGTTTTACTGTATGATTCATAACTTAAGTGCTGCGGCCTAATCCCCCAGAGGCGTTTGGCGCATCTTATGTGCAGGTTTTCAATAGCATCAAAGATTGCGGGGCGTAATATATTTTTATTTTTTCGGGTAGCAGGCCTAAAATCACAATTAGAGAACAATGCTCTTAGCTCTGAAGGAATATGGATCAGTTCTGGTGGTTTTATTTTGCCACCATGGCAACAACTTTTCGTTACAACTTCATCCTCACAGCATAAAACAAGGGAAAAGTTTTAAAAATACAAAATAAATAAATAATAGGAAGGGAATAGAAGTGAAGAGGTAAGAGTGGGAGCGCAAGGTAAAAATAAATAAGAATAAAAATGTGAAATTAAGAAACTTGAAAGTTTCCGTACCTTTGTTCACATATATTAACTTTGTGGCCTTCCTTTACTGTTCCTTTTACAAAATCAATTTAATCATCTTATGTCCTCAATTTTTGTATGCTTTCAGAACAATTGAATCGGATTGAGAAGATTACTGTGCAGACAGCCTCAAAGGTAGTTGCACTGAGCAATGTAAGTGGGGACGTGCCCACAGCTCTGATAGAAATTCAATCAAAGCTGTCAGATCTTCTGTTAGTCGAAAATAATAGGCTGAGAGATGAAATCCTGCAAAATTTACCGATCAATGATGATATGGCTCTGAATGAATTTGAAGCCAAGTTAATAGACCCGAAATTTCGCTCTGCTTTTGTAAGTTTGCATCATCTTTTGTTTTCCTCTCATTTCCTGATCAATTCGTGTTTTCATTCTCTGCTTCCCTCAAACTACGTTAAATACTTTTCAAACCAAACTTCTTTGTGTGTAATCAAAATAAGTATTGATGAAACAGAAGAGTTTCTTGAGAAGTTCAACTGTTTGAAAAAAATGACAATTTTAGAAGAATTATCCAAGAGACATTTTCAGTTATTTTCAAATTTTTCCTGCACAAATAGACTAGTTTCTTGGTAAGTAACATGGATTTTAGTAAAATCCTAGAAGTATCCTCGTATAACATACATAAAGAAAGGGGGTGAGGCAGAAAAACAAATGAATATCTTTCTTTTCTTAAGACTATTGTGTAGTTTTCTGCAGGTCTGGGCCCTTTTTTCTTTTCCTCTTGTTATTCCATTCTGGTATTGTTGTTAATGTTCATTTTTTTTGTAGATAAAGTTTATGGCTACCAAAGGCAGCACTAAAAATGTGTCGCTATGTGTAAAGAAGCTAATGAAGGAGTTGTTAGTGGATACGTTTGCCATCAATTACTGCATGACAGGTCACCTTGGAAAAAAGCCTTTTATGGATAACAGAAACCTTTTTGAATCAATAGCAGGTAACACATGCACTGATTTTTCAAATCTCTCTGATATATGAGATGTTTTTCTAGAAGTCAGAAGTGCATTGCATTTTTGAACGTAAGAGAATTGTTTCCCCCCTTTACTTTCTCGCACCCTTACAGGTGGCTATGATATCCAAATGCCCTCAAAGTAGTGGAGGGAGGGGGGCGCTCCGACTCACCAATAATGATAGCTTTGTGCCCAATTTTGCCTTATTTTTTGCAGGGTCACATTTGTTGAATGTTTGTCTCTCTTGAAATTTTTGAGCATTTGAAATTTCTGCAACATTTTCCTGAAATGTGTCAATTTATTTTTGAGTCTTTCGCCTTCTAAATGAAGATCGACCGTAAAGCGTAGAAGGAAGGAGAAATTACAAATAGTAAAAGAGTGTGCTATTGCCGAATGAAGGCAAAGAAACTACTTGCGTCATTTTTCTAATATATTCCACGAAGTCACATGGCTTAGTAATCCTTTAATGTTTCTTTGTTTCTGTAGCCGCCACAAGAAGTTTTCACCCTCCCTAGTAGCCAAAATAGTGCCATCGAATAGGTATCGTCCAGATACCCTATTTTATAGGTATTTAATAGATATTTTATGGGGTATAAAATATACATATTTAGATCCATCTATTTTATAGGTATTTTACATGATTTTTTACAGGTGTATCTCAAAAGCATATTTTATACCTATTAATAAGTATCAAACCAATTTCATTCTTTAAGTTTCATGGAGATGGAAATTTTCATCTCTGCATCTTCGTTTCGTGATAATTAACGATAACGGTACCACGGTGTTACTTGAACGAACGTCTACGTCACTCATACCGGTTGTACTTATCTACGTCATCAAGATGGCCGTTACCTCTGTCACGGTCTCCGCCTTCGCACTGCACTAATACTCGACGATCCCAAACACGATACGCGAACACGAACACGCCGACGCTAGCTGTTAGAGTACCTGCCGATTGCCGACGCTGTAGCCTATCCTACGACGACGCCGCCTTCCTTGAAGTTCCCTGTGATTTCTAAAGTTTTCAAGTTGTTATATAGTTCTTTCCGCTCAATTTTGAATAAATTCATTCATCTGCTTGCGCTAGCTGTTAAGAGTACCTGCCGACGGCCGACGCTGAAGCCTATCCTACGACGACGCCGCCTTCCTTGAAGTTCCCTGCCCTGTGATGTTCTAAAGTTTTCAACGTTTTCAAGTTGTTGAATAGTTCTTTCCGCTCAATTTTGAATAAATTCATTCATCTGCTTGCCAGAGTGAGTAGCTAATTTTACTTTTTTCTCGTACCTTTTTCCATGCCAACCTCACGTTTTCTGTAGGTGACCGAGGATGTATTTCTGCCTGTTGATTGCGACCACGTAGGTGCCTCATGCGAGTATAATATTCCTCTAGACAATGGCCCTAACTGTCTCGTCTGAATCTTGTTCGACAAGAATCAAGCATTAAGCTACATTCCTGAGACCAGCGCAACTTACCCATTATTTGCAGTGAGGCTGAATTGTTCATGTGGATCCCGATTTTAGGTTAGGTCCTTCAAATCGTACAAAACTTTTTAATAATTAGGTATTGAAATTATATGAAGTTATATGCATGCATTTACTACCATGTGCCATTTCTTACAGTGCAGGCTCCTACTACACTTGTGCGCATCAGTTCCTCTAATTTCCACTGACGATGTGGCTCTGCCAGCCGCGTCTTAAATGGCCTGAGACATTGTTCGGTAATTGTAGGCCTAATTCCAGAATTAGTTAGCATAGGATGTCCCTAGAAACTAGGGAATCATCAGAGCTCCAAACTGTTCCATCTACTCTCTATTCTGCACTATTACTGTTTGAGCCTTCACAATTTATTTTGCGGACTGGTTCCTGTATTATTCTTAAGACAACGCTTCTCAAGCACATGGCTCAAAACTCAGGCCCAACTCTTATCACCCTTTGTCACAGATTCATCCCCCGGTTGACAAGCAATCTGAGTACCTGTTAAATTGTAACTGGTGGGTATGTCTCTTAGTTCCTAGCTGCACTGCTTGAACCACAAATGTTATCGGAATTATACAAGCCCTAAGACCCCGAAAATAGCTTATAATAAGTTTTGCTGTAAGGATAGGTTAAAATTAATCAGAGGCAATATAACTGGCTGTAAGTCTGTTATTTTAGGCCTAGATTCTGCTATCAATCACTTGGAAGTCTGTTGAGTCCCAAACGAACAAAAAGTCTGAACAAGCAACAAGTTTCGAAACACTGCAATTGAGGATTGCAGTTTCTCACTTCAGCCATCGAATCTAGTATACCTAACTTAATTTAGGCCCAAATGCCTGGGATCCTCTCAACATGTGTCAGGAGATTAGCTAAGATATAACTAAGCCCAGTTTTAGTTAGGCACTTTCATTCGCGCTTCCTGCCCCTGATTTCTTATGATTTTTAAAGATTTTGGTTTCTTTTTATCTGATTTCTTACGAAGAGATTGGTACCATCTGCTCATTAGTTGGCATTCATATTAAGTTCTAATAGCCAGTAATCAATTGGCTTTATCATGCGGTATTGCCTTTGGTAGGTTACAACTCTGCATGTACAGACCCGGAAGGTCTCTTTTGAATTTTCTTAGAAAGAAGCAAAGTTAAGAAACTTCCTGAGGAACATTCCATAAATATTACTATGCCCACGTCAGAACTCCTATTGGCATCCTTCCCATAGAACTGGGGTCTGTGTAGGTCCTAGGTAGGGTCATACACAGTAATTTCTTTGTTTTGATGTTACTGTATTTTATCCCCTACTTATTCCAGGAATAAAATATGTCTGGATCCTTCCATTGCTTCCTTTCAAAATCTGGAAGAAAAAGAAGGCGTAAGCTCAACCCACTGGAGGATGATGCTGAGTCGAGTAGTGAGTCGGAAAATGAAGTCCCATGTTCTCCGCCCTTCGATCCAGAAGATCTTACTCTGCCCGGTCCCTCTTTTCAACCCGTGGAAGAAACCACCTCCTCTCCACCAATTTCTCCCGATGTGTTGGAGCACTTAGATTTTGATGGGGGTGTAAAGCTTTTCAACCCTTTGTCTGATGAATCAGATGTTAGTTCTACCACCTCTGAGGATGCGGTGTCCTTTGATGAATCCATTGTTGACAATATCGAGCCTCCTGATTTGGTTGAACCTACCGACCCTTGTGTACGCATGGAGAAATTTTTAACAGATTGGGCCTTTGAATCTAACGCATCCCACAAGCAATTAAGTCTCCTATGCCAGGGATTAGTTGACAATCACCCTGAATGTTTTTTGAAACTCCATCGCGACGCTCGAACATACTTTAAAACGCCTCGAGGAAAACTGAAAACACGAGACATGGGAGCCTTAAACTCGTCAACCCCTGGGAGATACTTTCATATCAGTATAATTAAGCAGTTGATAACATTGCTTCCTTTGCTGCCTGCTTCTGTTACAGTGCTGAAATTGATTTTTTATATGGATGGGCTACCATTAATCAAAGGTGGCACCAATGAGCTTTGGCCAATTTTAATGAAATTAATCCTTGAGAACATCATCTGTAAAATCATGCCTGTTTCCCTTTTTTATGGCCCCAGTAAACCTGCGGACAATGTAGAGTTTCTGGATGAATTCATGGAAGAACTCAAGGTTTTATGCACGGATGGCTTAGAATTCAATGGAACAAGGTACGAAGTGATTGTTGCGGGCTTTGGGTTTGATACCCCTGCGAAAGCCTTTGTTCTCGGAATAATTTATCCGAATGCATATTTCTCCTGCCCTCGATGCAAAATTGAAGGAGAAGACTGGCAAATTACCACTGTCAGGGGTCAGAATGTCAAGATATCACATAAAAGAGTTTTCCTCGACACCAAATGCAGTGAGAGAACAGATGATGAATTTCGATCTAGAAGTGATGAAAAGCATCGACCCGTAGACAGAGAATGTCCTCTAGTTGCAATAGAATCTCTCGATATGGTCCGATCCATAATCCTTGACTATCAACATTTGGTTTTATTAGGTTCAATGAAGTATTTTATGACCCTCTGGTTTGGAACTGAGCCCTCCCAATTCAAAGTTTCGGCAGGAGCAAAGCTACGTGTATGTAAAGGTATTAGAAAATTTCATTCTGACGTGCCATGTGAATTTGCTCGCCAAAAACCTCGAGAATTGAAAGTCCTTTCTTATTGGAAAGCAACTGAGTTTAGATTTTTTCTCTTATATTTGGGGCCTATTCTGCTGAAAGGTGTCCTGGACCCACTGAAGTATGATCATTTCCTCATGTTGCATTTAGCAATCAGAATTCTTGTCAGCCGCAAACACTGCTCTGATCCGCAACAAGTTGAATATGCACGAAGTTTGCTAATTAGTTTTGTGGAATCTGCTCCTCAAATTTATTCTGAAACCATCATGGTTCTCAACCTGCACTGCCATATCCATCTAGCTGATGACATACAATACTTCCAACAGTTTTTCCCTGGCTGCACTCTTGACACACTCTCCACTTTTGTAGCTGAGGATTTCATGCAGCAGATGAAAAAACTTAGCAGGGCTCATAGCAAGAAATTGGAGCAAGTTGGGTTAAGAATCGCTGAAGCATTTTTGAGTGACTACATGCAGAAAAAAAGAGTTGTTCATGTGACAGAAGATGTGAAGTTTAAAGACATCCATAATGATGGACCTCTCAGCCTTGATTGCACTGATCCACAATACAGATCAATCATTTTTCCCAGCTACAAAATTTCTACATCACGCGTTGCTGATAGCTGTTGCATCTTAGACAGTGGAAGTATGGAGGTGGAAATCATGTGCATAGAAAATGTTGCATCTCATGAACAGTCCAAGAAGGAAGTAGTGATCGGTAGAATTTTCAAAGGCCTCAGAGATCTGTACAAATTAGGCGATTGCAATAGTTCCAGCTATGGCATATTCTCTGCAAGTCATCTATCAACAGATCTTGAAGTACGATCAGTAACTCAAATAATGGGCAAATACGTTTGCTTTAATGATAATGATTTAGATGGTTTCTTTTTGTTCCCGCTAATTCACACTCTGGGTTAATCAGTCTCTATGATGGTCTAGTCTACATCGCAAGGTATGTCACAGTCTTAAATCGTTTGGAACTAACATTCTCAGAAAGTGTTACTGGAACTGTGAGGTTTTCTGATCCATCATTTGATTGTGCGTTAACTTTTACGAAGTGAATTGCTACATCACTGCCGCCTACTGAGCAATGATAGGTTTTTTTCTTTCCTTTTTTGTGATGTGTAGCCTTATAATTGTGTAATCTAACTTTTCACTTACTTTCTATTGGCATCGGTTATCATTTTCTTTCACTTCAATGTGCGATGAACCTTAGTAAAATTGTGAATACTTTGTGTGAGTACGTGAATACTCTGTGAATACTTTCTCTGAAGTCAAGGAAGTCCCTAAGCTATCAATTAATCTGGCCATATCATGTTGTTATACCTTATTCAGTGATCAAAGACAACATAAAAACACCCCTTAGTTAGTATCTTCAGCGTGTTGTTTGTAGCGTAATGCATCAATATCACTTGGTCCAAGTTTTCCTGCAGCTACGTACCTGGAGTACCAATCCAATTTTTCCAGCCAGTCAACCATCGCCAGCAGTCACTGCGATTCAAGCTTCATTTTCATCAATGGAAACCTTCCAGGAAGACAAGACAGTAGCACCTGCTGTATTAATAGAAAGCCCAAGCAGCCGAAGATGTTGTCTAAACTGTAGGTACGTTACAGTTGCGTTTGTAGTTTTTGCTCACTACCTATTTCTCAGGAGCACAATCTTTTTACTTGATCACCTGCGTTGCGCAAGAAAATTTCTCACTCGCAAACAGCGCTGTTTTAACCTGCTCGGCTTCCTGAGTTTAGAAGTAATTCCTTGCCATGCTTTCGATCACTCATTCTTTTGCTTCTCTGCTCCCCCTAACAAAAAGTTGTTGCATTCTGTCAACGACTCTCCGCCTGTCCCGTCTCACGCCCAGCCATTGGTCAATGACGTCACACCTAAGCTGAACGGTGATTGGGGGAGGCGGTGAGCCGGATGACGCCGCGAGTATTGTGGAGTTCTCCTCACTTTTTTAGGCCATCTTTCTTTGAAACGTTTTATCTCGAAAGGATGCTGTCACGGCATCTAGTCTTTTTATCCATTTCCATCCACCACATTTGTGTTTTCCATATTCAGAATATATCACCTTCGTTTCTCGCATCTCCAGTTGTGCTTTTTTGAACGTCCAGTTTCCTTATTTTGCACGCCGCTCTCCCGAATGATCGCTTAGCGCGACGCCCGCATTGACACATTCCTCTGCGAACCCTGTTTTTCTCAATCCACCGGATAAGCTTGAGTTAACAGATTCTGATTGGATATGTGTGGTCCTCAAAGATCTCCCGAACTTTGGTTTCTTATCATTACCTCAAACTTTTTACTCTGGGTTAGTGATTTCCACAGATAAGTCCTCTTTCAATTCTCCATTTTCAACGCTTCAGGTAGTCCTCCACTCATCTTCAAGGCTTCATTTTACAAAGTTCTTATCAGACATATAGACTTCCCTGCTCCTTGAGTCGTGTCTTTTTCCATTGTTGCGGCTAGTGTTTTTTTTTTTTTTTTTTTTTTTTTTTTTTTTTTTTTTCCATCTCTTTTGATCTTTTTTATGCTACTTAATCTTCGCACCTCTTTGTACTTTTTGGTTTTTTGGCTAATTTAGTTTTTTCCTCGACCTTGCAACCACGGTTTTATTATTTGGGCATGCCATTACCTGGGTGGATTTATTTACTTTTTATGCAATTTCATCAGTATATTAGTTTCATAATATAGGAGCCATGGGTGTGACAGCATTCAAGCTGGAAGGATTGAACCTTCATACTAATATTTGAAACTTTCGTATGAAGACAACCCACTCTCAAAAATAAAAAAAAAACTCAATTATTTTTTCTCCCTGTCTGTGAGTTCATGTCTTCTGATTTACTACAAGAATAAGGAAAAAGTACAGACAACTCAGAAGTTTTACTTAATTTTTGGGCTTTGTGATCTAATGGTACCAAAAATATTCAAGAAATAGGCTAGAGGTACCCAGCCTTGTGCCAACCGTTATGGCATCAACCGCTCTCTTAGACCAGCAAAAGAAAGACTGAAGAAACGTTAAAACATCTTGATACTGCTAAAATAGTAGTCTAGCTGGTAGGGAAGACAAATTTCTTCAAGGTGTCCTCCAGTCCAACTCACATACTACTCCTTGAGCAGCAGATCGCACAAGATCTTATCAAAATTTTGACATTGATAGCAAGAAAGGAGAATAAAATTCTATGTAATTGAAATATAAGTTCATCAGCTCAAATTCTACCCATAATACCGGGCTCTATGATTAATAATATCTGTAGCCTGGTTTTTGGTTTAGTGTCTCAGCTCATATCTGCTGAAGAAGGACCTCTGGATTTTTATAACATTTTCATGTTCTAATTTTTATTTTTGACAACTGATCTAAGTTAGTGTGTGAGCAGAACCATCTTGTCCAAAGTTTTTACTATTCTTTGCCTGCTTCTGATGATAGCTTTTGTGTCTTTCTTATCTAAGTATCAGTCTGCCTTAATTCGTCTTGGAATTTCATTAATGCATCTATTACTCCTGAAGGAAAGTTTTTTTTAATTTTTAGTATTTTTTAATCTTTCTTTTCTTTTAACCCCTTTCATTTCAAGAATTATTCTCCTTTGACATCAGGATTTCCCCAAATATAACATGAACAATGTTCGTGATTTTGTTTGGTCTCCCTGTCCTATTTTCAGTGATAAGTCTTATGTACTAAACATATTGTTTTCTTCATTTCAGAACATGTATTCCATCATCATCAAGGAATCTGACAAAGGCATTTTTGATGATTACGATGTCATCCCAAGCAAATGGATTCTTAGTAAAAGCACCTGTATGTATCCGCCTAATCTCCTCAAATATAGGGCCAAGCGCAATGCGGATGTACAAGATTTCTGGACTCAGATGAACATCAAAATTATAACAGATGGTCACAGTGAGTATCTTAAAAATGTGTTTGCATTTTCTAGGAAAAACAGAATTTCTAATTCTCAATATGTTAAGCAGAAGCTCCGGTGACTAAAGTAGTTGAAGTGCAGGAAAGCCGTTGTGGATTTGGGGGGAAAATCAAAGATTTTCTTGTTGAAATTAGGAATAAGCCAAAAGCTTCGGCTGCCTCCATGGTGCAATGCTAAATCCTATCGTTTTCATTTGTTCTCTCGCAAATTCGAAGATAATTCAGTGACAGATGGCTCAGAAAGTATTAGGAAATTATTCTCAACAAGAATAAGTTTCTTTTAATTTCGTCAAGATTTGATATGCGATCGACATCATAAACACATAAGGAGTATGAGGCCAAACTTCAATCATCCCCCCTCCCGTCTTTTTGCCCTGAGTTGCGCTGTAATTTTTTGCACGCGAACCGTCTGTTCCCTCTTGTGTGTTTTGTGCCACTATAACTCAGAGCCAGCATAAGTGGACTGGTGCTGTAAAAATGCGAAGTCAAGTAAACCAAAAAGTATTCATTTCCCCAATTCCACTTTTTTCCTCTTAAAGTAGTGAGCTGTCCAGTTACCTCGCCTCTAAACAGTGTGTTTTGAAATTTTAATGATCTTTAAACAGCTTTTGTGCCATTTGCATGCACAAAAATACTTGGCAACTATTTTTCTCAAGCAGAAGAGAAGAGAAAGATCAGCCGTTTTTGAAGCATGCAGCTCGCATTTATCGATATCCATTGATGATGCGAGTAAGTAGTCTCTCAGCAATTCAGACCCAGCTTTAATTTTGTTGAGAGTGTACCTGATAATTTTTAAAATTCTGTTGTGTTGCTTATCCATTTGGGTTACAAAGGCAAGGCAAGTAATGCATTGTTCTTGTTTTCATTTTTACAGGCAACTATGAAAGAGCAATGGAAGACTGTTTGAGACTTAGCAAAGGCCGTCTGACAAAAAGTGGGTCAGAGGCGGAGGAGAAAGGGGTGGGGTGCCGTGCTAAAAAGTGCACGGTACTCTTCTCCCCTGGCTCCTCCCCATCAAAAAAAAAACAAAAAGTTGCTGGAAAAGTGGCCTCCTCGTGCCTGAAGTCTAAACTAAAACTCAATTTTCCAAAGCCTCCTGCAACAGACAAAACAGATTTCCTGCAGAAGGAAACCAGGAAAGCTTTTACCTCAAGCAATACCAATGTCCAAGGATCCAACCAGACTCCTAAACAACCCAAAAAGTCAACCCCAACCTCAAAACCTCAGATGAATGTTAAGACATCCAAAACGGATACGGAAAACAGAGAAGCTTTTCCAGAATTGGATTCCATTCCCATACGGGCTTCAAAACCTCAGATGAATTCACAGACACCGAAAACACATAAGGAAAGCAAAGAAGCTTCTCAAGAAGTAGTTTCCACTCCCTTACGGGCTATTGAAGCTCTCCTTGTGGATGTATCAAGTGAGTTCCATTAATTATAAAAGTGCTTTAAATATTAAAATTATGCATTTCCTGCTCTCTTCATAATTTGCAAGAGCATAAATAGCAACAATAACACTGCCGCAAATAATACCAAAATGAAATTTTTCCAGGATAAGTCACTTTTTCTATTTTGAAAAGAAAACTTAAAATTAAGAAAATTGGTGACGGCTAAGTAAAATGAAGGTCTTTTTTGGACCCTTCTGTATAAAACAGTGTAGCCAATTAATAAGGAAGTAATGCATGGTTTTACCCTCTTATTACCTGTCCTTTTCACTGTTGATTGGATTCATGAAATTATTTAACTTTACCTCTACTTCTCTGGTTTACACAGCCATGCAGTTTTGGAGGGCTTATTCTCATCTATTTGCAGCATTTCATCTGTATTGTTTCTCTCGTATGTGTTACAGGAGATGTCAAAAAACTGAAAGCAACCGTCTCGGTTATGCAAGCTGATTTAAAAAGCCTGATTGAAATTGAGAAACTACGAGGCGTTCCCAATGTCATCAATGCTAATGCCCTCGATGAATTTCCGTTCTCAAGTGTTGATAAACTGATAGAGTTTGACGACAAGCTTAAGGCAAACCCGCAGCTTTGTCAACAAGTTGTAAGTATTATGTCACTCAGTCTTTTACAGTACAACTCAAGCAAGGTTTCTTGCATTTCATTTTTCTGATGCGTCACTTATACCCTTTCAAACTCCATTAACCATTTTTCATCTGTAAATCGTACGCACTGAAAATGAAAAAACAACTTAACCAGGGGAAAAGGCTGCACATGAAAAACTGGGGCGCTTCAAAGTATCACAACATGCGTTTATGTGTGGTATGCATTTTCAACCAGAAAAAAAAAATATCAATTGCAACAGGGAAATCAAAAATGAAAAGAGAGCTGTTGACTGCTGTAATTGCGAAACCAAGACTAATTACCGGGCAAACAGAATATGTCCCACAGATTTGATCTTGCAGTCCTTATACTGTACATAGTAAACTAGTCGTGATTAGCTCGCTTTGCGAGCTGACACGTCTAGCCGGGGAGTGCCCCTGGACCCCAGTTCTACGCTTCGCGACGAACTTGCGACTCGCTCCGCGAGTCGCCACCGCCCCGCACAGTTTTTAACATTAATGAGGAGACAACATCTATGTCTTAATCTTCTTTTTCACCAATTT